ATTCTTCCTCCTATTTTTTGTATTTTTTGATGTTTCACAATAGCCTCCTCAGCCAACACCCTTTTCAACGGCTAAAAGTGAACCTATTTTCACATTTCAAGCAGATAATCAAAAAGGACCTAACAGCATTTTGACTTGTTATTTCCCACTTTTTGAATCAGTCCCCCATCTAGGTGTTTGTATCTTATCCTTCCTTAAAGTAGTTTACATATACAGCCAATTCCTGTTTATACTTTACTATCCATAGAAGAGTAACAGACATTTTTATGTGGCAACTTTATTTAACTAGACATTTCTTTAAAAAAAAATATCACCAGGTTGTGGTATTACTTCATAAGCAAATATGTTATGTGTCATTTCAAGTGGCAAGTTCTGGCATTACCCCATGCACTCATAGGTAGACACTCTAACTTGCTTTTCCAACTGATACATTTGTCTTCCTTGACAGAGTACCATGACATCGTCTTTCATTTATTTCACACAATCTCACTACAGACAGAAGAGAACAAAGGAGCAGTAAAAGCCAGAAAGGAAGGGCCAGCAGGAGGAGAGGCAGGGTCAATGCTACACTTACACTGTGTAGCAATACTCATGATCAAGAAAGCCATTGTCAGTCTTTTGCAACAAAGAAGCTCAGAGTTTACTATTTTGGTTATGAACATCAAGCAATTTTGTTTCTGTGCCTCCTGGCTCCTCAAGCAATCTTCTGAACTGCCTGCTTCCCCTCTCCTTTCCTCTGCTCTCTACAAGAAATTACTCTGTTATTCTGATGAAGCAAATGGGATTCTCCAATAGCGGATGTGACAATAGCTCTTTAAGGGGTGACAACTCTTTAAAATTAATAATGACTAACCTACAAGTTCAGCTGCAACTCTACGCAGGCATTTTATCCCATTGTTGGGACAGTGGGACATCAATCTCATTCTTGATACACATTACACTCTTCCAACCTGCCATTCTGATTTAAATGACAGCAGTGTCATTGTGGGGAGGAAGTATTCAGAAAAGACAAGATGGTGGCCAAGCCAAGCAGCATGACTGAAGCCCAACCCATTTTGTGCCTGCAACACTGACATACATACAAAAGGGGTGGTGCTTCAATCACACTGTGGTGACCATCATCTTCTCTTTTTTGACCACCACAGCTCCATACAATATTACCAGTTAAAATTTATTTTCAGTCTCAACATAGCCAGCAAACCTAAATGCTTTGGAATCTCCTTTGGTATTAGAGGACTTAACATGTTCTTTACAAATAATTACCCTGTTAGAATATACTAAATTAGTTAGTCAAGGCCACAAGGAGGCATGGAACAAAAAAAATTGAGTGTCAAGGGAGGAAAGGAAGGAAAACCATCAAAAGACGACCATTATGGCTTCTACATGTCACATTTCTATACAGTTATGATTAATTCCAGAATAATAGAACAAAAATTATGTTGTACCTATGGAACAATTATATATCCTTTCAGGAACAAATTGATGGGTTCATCTAATGTTTGAAGATGTGATGCTCAGAAGGGAACATTGGTTCATTGGCCCTATGATACAGCGCCTCTCTCTTTTTTTGACATATATTATTTTACTCATTTTATTTTTGAGGACATTGGTTTTTCTAGGTGCCCATTTTCTATTCAATTATATATCAATAGTTTGAAAACTAACAAGAAGACAACAGAAATGAATATTGACACTTTTATGATCACAAAATAATTGCTACTACCAGTTAAAAGTTTTCCTATTCTCCTTTAATTGATGGTTTGAACAATTTACTACTCTTTCTGAACAAACATTTTAGTTCTAGGAATCACAATTATGGACTACTTAGAAATCTGGGTTGTACATATGCTTAATTTCCAACTTTTTAAATGGTTAAGTATTAACCACATAAATACTTAATACCAGTATTAAGTATTAACATTTAGATGTTAATAATTTAATTCTATAACACAATATGCAAAACTGTTTGGAATAATATAGGAGACATGCATTTTTTAATTTTTTTTCTCTTTGTTTTCCTTTTTCTGTATTGCATATAAAAAACTCAATATACAAAAAAATCACAGCATGATTGTTGCCAAAAAAAATTTAATTGCTTCCCAGAAGACAGGAAATAGCTGATTTGTTTTTTAAGGACACTTCAGATTGGAGAACAAATGTTTGAACTTACACAAGCATACTAATATTACTTAGAGTTCACTAATGCACATGATAAATATCAGATTTAAAAAACAAGTAACATAGCAGCAATTGGAACCCACAATTGAAATAATCAAAGTATGTGTCCTTTCAGTTACTTCCCAATTTCTCCCCAATTATGACAATTTATTAAAAGACATGTTTCATGCTCATATATTAAGGACAGATGATATTGTGTTTATCCTTTGAAGCAGAACTGCATTTTAGAAAATTACTGTCATTTACTACCTCTTTTACCAAAGAGATTGCAGTGAGATTCTGTCCAGGTTAGAGGAAGGAGGGTGGAACCATTTGCTTTATCTACTACAACCCGAATCATTGCATCTGCCAACTCAGGCAAAAGTTTCAGTATGACTAACTAGATTCTGTAGCTGCCCAAGGGTTGGCTTTCATCCCATCTGTAGACAGAAAACATGCCACCATATTTGTCTTGCAGCTGCTGCTGTTTGTTAAGAACTAAGAAACATGGTCAACCTTGGCCTAGTAACAATGCTGAAGGGTTCAACCAACCAACCAAGGAAAGAGGTGAAAACGCTATCAAAACTTGAATAACCTCAGTTGATCACTCAGCCAGAATCTTTTGAAGTCCATTCCAACCAGTGACAAATCAGGCGATCCTATCTTATTTTTGAGCAGAGGCCATCTCAACCAGAATAGCTATTTTCTCTCTTTATAAATTAACCAGGGTTGTCATATAAGACTTCAGAAAGCAACACGCTAGCTGCTTGGTCTTTGTTCCCAAAGAAGGTTGTATTGCATATTTCATAACATAAAGCCCATAAATAATATTTAGATCATTTCCCGTTTTGTTGAAAGCACATAGAAACTGGGTTCACAATCCTAAGTAAACTATGGCTTAACAATGATTTACTGAATCAGCCATAATTAGCTGACTCAATATAACATGTTAAGCAAAAGACTGAGATGTACAATGACATAAATGGCCACATGGGGCATCTTTGGTGGGAGCCATAACATCATTGTGCATAGGAATTGTGGCTTGTACCAATTAACTATCAACAGCCATGACTTTAAGAGTCATTTAACTTAGAGGGTTTATAGGCCTCTCCAGTCAGAACCAATTCAGCGTATAATTCTTCCTCTGTAAGTTAGGATAAAACCATACAAAGGAAAATATACAAAGAGGACAGGCAGAAAGTTGCTCGACATTAGCTTCTGAGGATCATAAGGAGACTGCTGATGTGCTCACATCTAACAGCAGAGCATCCCATTGGCTTTTGGTCAACCACTAAGAGAACTAGAGGTGGACTAGAAGGTCTTATGCAAATCAAATCTTCTTAGGCACTGTTTTATCAGCACAACATACCTAATCTTTGGGACCTTACCTGGTATGAACCCAGTGATCCATACCAAGTTCATCCAGCAAATCAAAGGTGGTCTCAGTCTGCTGGGATCAAGTACCCTAAGTCTCCCAACCACCTTTGAGTGTGGCCAGCTGCTACTTCCCAGGACCACCCCAAGAGGGGTCAAAAAAGACAAGGTGGCAGCCGCACACAAAGAATGGGTCATGGCTAGTGGGTCAGGCTTCAATCCTGTAGTTGCAACTGCCATTTTGGCTTTTTTGCTACTCCGTGGGGATGTTCCTGTGAAGTTATTTATTTTTTAAAAAAAATGGCTAGATCAAAGCACAGAGGTGGGGCACTTATAGCTGCAGGTGTCCTTCTATTCTTATTTTCCTCCCGCATCTCTGTTTCTAGAGGCCAGAAGAGAGATTAATTTCACATAACGGGTTAATTTCTGGGATGGATAACACAAAGGAGCTGAGTGTTAAAACAAAGATGAGTTAACCACAAACAAACCTTGGATGTGGTGTGGTTGAGTAGTCCTGCCTTTGAGGGTTGGATGAGGTGTGGTTGAGTAACCCTGTCTAATTCAAATGGAAAGTTAGATCTTTAAGCAGTTTTCATTAGCATCTCATAAAGCCAGTATGAATTTTGTGTTCTGCTGATTTTCTCCAGGTCTAACTCATTAAGCAAAAAGAATTGCAACAGGTACCAAGTCCAGATCCAAGGCTGGAATGGATATACCACAATTAGATATTTTACATTTTGTAATTCAATGGGGCTTACTCCCAGGTAAGAACCTACACAACTGTAGACACAAGGGCCTGAGAATTTGATAGTCAACCTCTCCTTGTGTTGCCAGACAAGCAATTTACTTCCTACCAGATGTTTTGGAGTGCAAATCCCTAAAACCTTTATGGTGGCTAGATGGGCTAGAGCTGGTGAGTGCCACATTCAGACCATCTGGCAACCATTAATTCATCTCCCCACCAAGATCCTCAAAAGGAAGATGGATCCACATGGGATAAAATCTGAAATTTCATCTTGCCCAAAGGGATGTGTAAACATGTTTAGATAACATGAATAAGTTATAACATCTGTTGGTAGAAGTTCATGTTTTTAATTTAAGGAGAAGGAATAAGGCATACAAGTGCTTTATCAAATTGCCCATTCACGACGTATTCATACCGGGGGTGCCATTTATACCTCTGATGTTTATAAGGTTCAAAAGAAGAGCACCCTGCCCCGAGGAGCTTACCCATTTACAATTCCGCACATGGAACCCAACTAAGTAAAGAGAGGGGAAGCCAGAGAAAGCGAAGCAGATGGACCCTACGCCCTTGATCACAGGCTAAGCCCCACACTTGTTTTCAGAGGGGATCTATAATCTCGCACCTCCCAGAAACGTTGGGCTGCAACGCGGGAGGCACCGGGAGAGGCTCAGGGGAAGCCACGCCGCCCGGCAGGCTGCAGGCAGAGCTAAATACGAGGCTGTAACTCGAAGCTGCGAGAGCGACACACGGGAAGCGGCCAAACGCGCAGCCCGCGAGCGCGTTCCCAAGTCCGAGCCTCCGTTGACCAAAGTTGGCCCTCCTGCTCGGGGCGGAGGGGACGCGGCCTGGCTGACGTCAGGCAGGAGCAGATAAGAGGTGATCTCGTCGCCGGAAGGAGCCAAGGGGACCCTCCGGCGGCCAGACCGCAGCTGCGCGCCGGGAGAGGCGGGAGCTCTCGATCGCAGCAGCGGAGCCAACGACCGCGGAGCGCCGCTCCCCCAAAAGCCCTGGGACCATGCCGCAGAACGTGGTTCTTCCGGGACCTGCGCCCTGGGGCTTCAGGCTGTCGGGAGGAATAGATTTTAACCAGCCATTGATCATAACCCGGGTACGTCCTTTCCGATCACGGTTCTTTGCTTTTCCTTTTGGAAAAGGAGTTCGCGTGGGTTGACTTCGTGTTTATGCCGAAAATAATCTGTTTGGATTGGGTTTGCTGCAGGTGCTTTGCTTTAAAGGAAAGCGTTGTTGTCCAGTTAAGAAGTTCGTAGGAGAGGGAAGGGACTTGGCGCTCTTCCCTGGCGCTTTGGGAGAGCACGTATCGCAAAGGCGCGATCGCGTTTGTAATCGTCCTGGGTCCACTTACCTGTGATGAAGCCTTGTTGACTTCAGTGGGACTTCCTGTTCTTTAGAAATATATTATGTTATCAGCATCTGATTTGTGGTGCAGAGGGTGCTATTTGCTGCTCCTGATACAGAGGAACTACGTGTTTTGCAGAGATTTCTGTGTTTCCCCAATCTCCCTGGTGACCTTTTCCCTGCACCCACAAGGATGGATTACCCAACACGCTGAACTGAAGACAAGGCGATCTACTAGGTCCTCCTCCTCAAAAAATAAAATCCATTGGAAGAAAGGATTCAGAGTAGTCCAGTGGCTAGAGAGGGATTCCCTTTTAAGACATTCTTTTGCAATATGACTTTGCATATTTTTCTTGCAAAATTGTATATTTAAGTTTGCAGAACTTTGAAAGGGCAAAGCGGTGCCGTCTGTTGCTGTTTCTTTGCTTTAAATTTCACTCTACCTACTTTACTTTTTTTTTTTTTTTTTTTAAGGCTTGGAGGCAGTCTTCCACACCTTAGCATGCAAGATGCTACTTACCCTGCAAACAGAGGGGTTTTTTCTCTCTCTCTTTTTTTTTTTTTTTTGAGGGAGGGAAACTACAGTAAAAAAAACTACTCAGGGCCTGGTATGATGGCAACTTGAGTCAGAAATGCCAGTGCAATGCAAATATGTTTGCTAAAGGAGAAACTCACAACCATATCCTATTTAAATGTGTGTCCTGTCAGATGCGAGGGGACCTCTTCCTACAAGTGTTTATAAGAGTGCAAATTCAGTTTAACATCTCATGTCATCCAAGTGAGGAGATACGGGAGGGTAATGCTGTGCTGTGCTATGTCACCTTAATGTTGGGGATCAAAATTAGATCATGACTATGTTGAAATGCAACCCTACACTCTAAAAGGAGTTTATTTTGCGTGGGGCAGCTGCCAACCTGGAACAGGATATTGTACTTTTTAGGCCTGGGAGCGCGGGTTGGGGGAGGATATTGGGAGAAGGAGAAAAAAGATACCTCCCCAACCCCCTTCTCCTCCTCCTCCGTTATATAGCAGTAAGCAGTTTAAGTTTGATTCCAGCTGCCTGCTTTATGCAGGATTTTCTCTTTTTTGCCTTGCTTGCTATGTGCAGGTAAACCCAGGGTCTGCATAATAGAGAACTGGAGAAAAGGTAGATTTCTTTTCTTGCTGTAACTTCCCTGTATGAGTGAGGAGATGGAAGTCTTAGTCATATAACACACCTCCTCCTCAAGGTTAACCCCTCCATCAGTAACCCTTGTAATAAAATGTTGAGGGCTTGGCTGTCCTTTTTCCTGCCTTCCCTTCCCACTAACCAGATCCCTCCAGATTCTTGGCTACCATAGACTAACACGACACTCCCTCTGAAGTTCTCTTCCCACTGTAACTGATAACGCTCTGTGTCCCAGCATTTCAGCGCTTTCGTGGATGGACTAGCAATGCGGCTGATTTCTAGTGCCTTTAGAGTTTGCCTTCGCCTGGGTAGAAATCAGAGGCGCCTGCAAAAAAAATTAAACACACAGATATCCAGATTGTAATATCTCTGGGAGTTCCTTCTGTCTCATCCACACCCCATGTACACACAACAGGCCCAGGCTCCAGGCATTGGGGGGAATTATGCATAAGGCCAGCCCTGTCATTAGGCAAAGAGGCATCTGCTTAAGACTCCAGATATTCTAGATGGGGAATGGCAGCAAGACATTGGAGGACAGAGCTAAACGCATACAATGCCATTTGTCCTGCCGCCGTAAGTCACCTTGCTTCTCCTAAATAGGACAGAGATACACTGTGATCCCTTCAGTGTAGCCAGTTTGCTGCCTGTGCATCTGCAGATACTTCCAAGGTGTTTTCAGGTCCCCTGCGCTTTCTGACTTTATTTGGTAAAAAGGAATTAAGAAAATTAAAATGGCAAAGCAGTTTGCAGCAATCATCCTTATTTACAAGAAGGCCCATAGGCCCCGTGAAGGCCTTGGGGGATTTTTAGAAATTAAAACTGGTATCTGGCTGCACTTTGGTACTTTGTTTGGAAGGGTGCCCGTCTGCTCAAGAAAAACCAAACTAGAGGAAGAGAAGGCCTGTGTCTGCAGACTCAGAACTCCCTTAGTTCATCATTAACTAGTATCTTTGCCATGATTTATTTGACCAAGGTAGTTACAATGTGAAGCAGCTGAAGATTTAGTGCTCTTACTTAGATTTGGTCACATATTGCAAACCCAGCCAAAGAAGACCACACCTAGGAATAGAAATAGCTGGACAATTGAAATAAGGGGTGGGAATATCTCCTGGAATTTTTCAGAGGGATGACTTCTATCACTTGCAGAGTTGACTTCTAGGCAAATCCTGGCAACCGATTCTAAGATGGGACAGAAAGCCCCAGAATATGTTAGATTAATATAGTCTATATTGACAAAGCTGATTCAGCAGGTATTCTCATTGGATCAGCTCAAACTTATCTTAACGCTTACCTGTCTGCCATAGACAACCGAAATTGTATGCAGGCAGGTGAGAAAGTAGGCTGAGAGTAGAAGAAAGGTGTGTTCCATTCATTCCCTTTAATTAGTGCAGAAACTAATCTGCTTAAGGAGGCAAGGCTCCTAATTGGCACCCAGCATAGAAATACAGCTTTCCATCTATGTTCTACAGATGATAACAAGTAATGATAAGAAAAAGCAGGTCATTTACTTGTGGGTTTATTTATGAGGCTGAAAGAGCACAGTGATAAACTTTGGCTGGTAACGTTGCAGAGCGCCTGGTCCCTAGAATATAACAGCATTACTGAAAGAGTTCCACCAACTGCTTTTACATATAAGGATCTAAATTCCTTGGTACCAGAGTCCCTGGGAGAATGCCTTTTCCCACAGGAGTCTGCTCCATCACTGTAATTATCAAGGGAAGTCCTGCTGGTTGTGGATATTCACTGGACACCCACCAAGACGAGGGCCTTTTCTATGCTGGCATCCACTCTGTGAAGCACCTTCCCCCAGAGATAAAAGCACGTGCTAGCCTTACTTCAGAATTGATATACACGTTGAAAACATTCTTACTTGCTTTGGCATATGGATCTCATGATGGCACTGCTCCACAACTCAGGATCACTGATTTGATACACTTTTGTTTGTTTCATTCGCTTTAATCATTTTATTATTTTTTTAATGGTATAGAATGTATTTAGTGTTGTACCCTGTCTGGAGATGTGCGGCATGGCAGATGGTAGTGAAATGTTTTAAATAAATAGCTTTGCAATGATTTCATTGGCCTCATTTCCCACAAACTTTTTGCCAACCCAGAAACATCTCTGGGCAATATCTTCTTCAAGGACTTGTCACACTGACCTGTTTAACCCCCATCTCGAACCATACAGATCAACAGATGACCAGATCCAAACATGCACGTCTCATTTGTTATCTTGATCTTGATAGAAAGTTCATTGGAAAATAGATCATAGCTGTTATTAGAATGATCAAAGCTTGGTATTTTCCATGTCTCAGTTGGCCATCAAATCATACGGATGACTTGATGATCAGTACCATTCTTCCCCAATCTGATGATTCCAAGAATTCCCAGCCAATATTGTTGAAGATGCCCCTGGCTAGGAAATCCGGGAATCATAATCCCAAGATATTGGGGAGAGCAGCAGGCCAGACGAGGCTCCTCAATATCAATATCTCATTTGCTCTTTTCTCTTTCTTTAACGGCAGTTTTGTATGCATGTTTCTATGCACACATTCGTTTACTGCTGTTTGTCAGTAGTCTGATGCTGGAGTATTGGATTGTTGTATAAATGCACTGTGTTCCTTATTTAGTCATGTAATCCTTGCTCAAAAATAAATTGAGTTTATTGGGACTTTGCCCCAGGAAATGGGAATAACAGTCTAGTTTCAGTGAAAAAAATGTGTCTGCCATTTTCCTGCTTCACTAGATACTGTTTAAATTGGCCACAAACCTAAGGGTCTTTGGTGGTAAAAATTTGAGTGTGTTATAGAAATAAATATTTTTCCTAGTATTTGACTTTATATCCCACTTATTTCTGTAGAAAAGACAAGCACAAACCCTAACCCTAATTAATGACTTTCATGAAATGGATTTTTGAAAAACAGAAACTGAGGGGTCAGTAAAATCAAGCAGAAACGTTCCCAAACTTCTGATCTTTGGTGGTAAAAATTTGAGTGTGTTATAGAAATAAATATTTTTCCTAGTATTTGACTTTATATCCCACTTATTTCTGTAGAAAAGACAAGCACAAACCCTAACCCTAATTAATGACTTTCATGAAATGGATTTTTGAAAAACAGAAACTGAGGGGTCAGTAAAATCAAGCAGAAACGTTCCGGTCTTTGGTGGTAAAAATTTGAGTGTGTTATAGAAATAAATATTTTTCCTAGTATTTGACTTTATATCCCACTTATTTCTGTAGAAAAGACAAGCACAAACCCTAACCCTAATTAATGACTTTCATGAAATGGATTTTTGAAAAACAGAAACTGAGGGGTCAGTAAAATCAAGCAGAAACGTTCCCAAACTTCTGATAACATTTATCTTATAAACAACTTCAGTATCACCAAATAGTATTGTAAAAGGGGTCCAGTATTCATTTGCAGAACAGCAATCTGTAGAAGTAGTCTTTATTATTCTGTTAAACAATTCAGTGATGTTTAAGTATTACTTGTAAGGTGTTGGGGTGAAGAGGTGAGGAATTATTGCCATCTGTGAAGTCTTGCCGTACTTCAACAAAAACTCTCACAAAAGCTTATGTTGGAT